AGCTGAGCTACCAGCCTGACAGGGAGTTGGCCTTCCGTGCTGCAGGAGGATGAACTATCAACCTGAAGGGAGGTTGAGTTGTCAGCTTGGGGAGTTAAGCTACCAGCCTGGGGAGTTGAGCTACCATGCTTCAAAGCGGCAGAGGGCAACGCAGGTGAAAGCTGAGCCGGATGGCCATTGGAGAGCCCCGGCGCCAGCTGCTGCAAGGATGAGCCGTCACGGTGGCCTGCTGGCGGCGCGGCCCCTGCTCCAATGTTACCAGATGGGCCGCTTTTGTCTGCTGGCGGCAGAGCAACGTGCTTTCGGGTTGTCAGCAACGGCCTGCGCCACGCAAGGAGTGGACCGGAGCAGCCTCGGGTTGCAACAATGCTTAACGAACCAGTTTCCGAACCAGGTTCCGAGCCCAGCAGGACCGGCAGCCGCACCAGAACCAGCAGGCCCGGCAACTTCAGCCGTCCCAGTTGTCCAGCAGGAAAACAGCCCCAGTAGCCGCTTCAGCGCTCATCCGCAGGAGCAGACGCTTCCAGGAAACAGTGAAGCAGCTGACACGAGCAGCAACTGCAACCTTGCGTTCCTGATGGGGTGCTTCTGACACCCCCTGAGAGACAGGTGGTGCTGTCAAGGCTCCTTAGCCTGCATGGCGCATTGGAGAACAGAGCACAGTTGCATGGCATTGACACGACAGGCCTTGCAACAGGGCTTGCCCCAAGCCTTGCCCCAAGCCTTGCTCAAGGCCTTGCTTCAGGCCTTGCCCCAGGCCTCTGCAGCAGCAGCTGCAGCTTTGGTGGGGCTTCAGGCACGGCCGGCCAGGCTCCTGCTTCAAGCATGGATTCAGGCGTTTCTGGTGGTGCTGGTGGTGCCGCTGCTGATGCTGCTGCTGTTCCTACCGATGCAGCTCCTACCGTTGCTGCAGTCTGGTCGCTGCTGCTCCGCCTGCTGTCATTGCTACGACACCGTGCTTGATCCACCTGCATCTGTCTACACATCTGTCACAAGAGCAGCAGAGCTGGATTCTTCAACCAGCTTCTTGAATGAGGTGAGTGAAATGTGCTGCACATTCAGCTAAAGTTTTGCTGCCTGCTGAGCCGGATTCTTCGGCAGCATTATTCAACCGAAGCCCTCAACTCTGTATTTTGGTTTTTTTTTTTTTTTTTTTTTCCTTGCTAATTTCCCATTTCTGCTGCCATCTTACCCCTGCTGTTCCTTCCTTCCTGCCCTGATTACCATCCTGTTGTTCTGGCAGTTTTTGGAGCAAGCAGACACAACAACAGGTTTCTCAACCCATCTTGCTCCATCCCACCCTGACCCATCTTACCTTAACCCATCCCACCCTGACTCAACTTACCTTAACCCTGACCCATCCTCTTACCTTAACCCATCCTCCTACCTTAATCCATCCCACCCTGACTCAACTTACCTTAATCTTGACCCATCCTCTTACTTGAGTCCTATGGACTTAGCTATCCCAGATACAAGCATCTGGTCTGATTTGACCGACCCATCTGCCATCCCCTCCCCTGCATCGGCGATCGAGACTCAAGATTTCGGATTCTCAGGAATCTCTGGAATTTCATCTGATCGGGCTCGGGACGTCCGATGAGCCGCACTCACTCACCGATATCTCTGTGCTGGGGACAGCTTTCGAGGCTCCTCAGAAGCAATCCCAGGAGCCTTCGGATTTTCATCTGGGTGGGGTTGGGGCAACTGATTGGTCTCACGCGCTGACGTTACTGACTGAGACCCCAGCGCTTGGGGATCCCAATGAGTCTCCTCAGAAGTATTCGCAGGAGCTCCTGGAATTGCACCCGATTGGGGTTGGAGCATCTGATTGGTCTCGCTCGCTGGCTTTGCCGACTGAAACCCCAGGGATTGGGGCAGCTGGGAAGCCCATCCAAGGGCTGGGAGAGGGAGGTTGTAAGGAGGAGATGGCGGCTGAGATATACTGTGGCGTCGGATTTGATGATTGGCCGGCGTTTGGACATCGATTGGATGACTATTGAGACGCCTTTTGAGTAGATTTGAAAGTACTTTAATTATGTCAGAGAATGCTTAGGGTTCAGGGGATGCGTCAAGTTTTGTACTAATTGACCGTACTGATACCATATTCCCCCTGGACTTGAACGAGGAATAGGGACTAAAAAATTGGCAGGTTTTGGTGAGGACCCCCTTGCTGCAATTGATATTTGAAGAACCCCCCTTCTCTGTACAGTGAGTTGAAATGATTTGGCGCATCAGCTTTTAGAGAGAAAACTACTGTTCTGACGCGGTTTTTATGTCAGGCTCGAAATCTGACACATCCACCGTGTCAGACCTTCGATCTGACGCGTGGGTCGCGCGATTTTACACAGGTCGAAGGGTTTCATCGTTAGAAATATAAGACCCCGCTCATGCAATTTGAGTCTACATCGTAAATCACAAGTTTGGTTTTTTTTGTAGGTTTCAAATCCCTTGAACAGCTGCCAGTTTTGCAAGGACAGACTAAGAGACCCCCAGGACTGTAACTGGAATTTCAAAAGCATTACAAGAAAAATAACTTGAGTATTTTCCAGACGATAATCTGCCTTCCATCTTCCCCACTCCCTATGCACTTGGCTTCCCGTTATTAACCCTCCTTGTTACAGTCATCTTCCACACCATCTGTGCAGTGTTGCACATCAGTCCAATTCGCTACTAGCTGCAGACCCCCTCCGTGGGGTTACCACACCAGGTGTTACACACCCAGTTGCTGCCTTCATCTCTCCAATCAACCCATAAGCAGCGCTATTTATTTCAAGCTACCCGTTTTTCTTTTGCCCGAAGCAGCGTGGTGTAGAAGGACCGGGCAGCTTCCAGCTCCGAAACTTTTGCAGCTGCCCGGTGCCGCTGGGCACGCATTCGGGCAGCGGCTTCGTTGCGGGCAACCTGAGCTCGTTCCAGGGAAGCCAGGGCAGAAGAACAGGCAGAAAATAGAGATACATTCTCCGTAGACTCCCCACTGCCCTCCTCCTCAGCTTTCGCTGCAACTCCCCCCACCTCCTCTCCCTCAGCATTTCCCTCCTCCCCACTCCCTCCTTCTGTCACTCCCTCATCCACACCATCACTCTCTCTATTCCCCTCCCCTCTCCCTTCGCAACCTTTGCTCACCGTACTGCCTCTCTCATCTTCCCCATCAATGGTTACCACAACCCCTGCCTGGTTACCAGCAACCCCTTCCCCCTTTACAAGCTCCTCCAGACTCGTGCCTTTATTCTCAGTGTCAGTACATGCAGTGAGCCGTGCAACTTCCTTGGAAGCTTCCTCCAGTGCAGCCTCGGCGTCTGCCAGATCATCCTGAGCGTCCAAAGCTGCAGCCACAGCAGCCTTAGCTTCGGCATGGCACTGCCGCTGAGCCTGCTTGGCTCGGAATACCTCGTCAAACTGCAGAAGGTCTGAATGGTCCAAACCTACTTACACTCGCCTTCATTATTCTCACCCTCGATGCTGCCATCCTTCTCACTGTCACGCTCACTATTGTCACGATAGTTAGTGTCACCCTCATTCTTGTCACCCTCACGCTCATTATTGTCACCCTCACGCTCATTATTGTCTCCCTCGTCATTGCTGTCATGAAAGTTAATGTCATCATCTGCTGCCTGCTGCTGCTGCTGCTGCTGCACTTTCGGCCGCTGCTGCTTCTTCTGCCGGAGTTGACTGACTATTGCACCCCTCCATATGCACCCCAGACAAACCTCCATCGCCTATAGCAGCATTATCAGCCACAGCGCCAGCAGATGCAGCATCAACATCGGCATCGCCATCAGCAGCAGCAGTAGGGGCATCAGCAGCAGCATCGCCAGCAGCATCATCATCATCATCAGCAGCAGCGGCATCAACAACAGCAACAGCACTAGCAGCAACAGCACCAGCAGCATCGGCATCAGCAGCATCGGCATCAGGATCATCAGCAGCGGCCGTATCAGCATCAACAGCAGAAGCACCAGCATCAGCAACATCAGCATTAGCAGCAGCAGCAGCAGAAGCATCCGTAGCAGCATCAGCAGCAGCAGCAGCAGCAGCAGCAGCAGCAGCAGCAGTAGCAGCAGCAGCAGAAGCATCAGTAGCAGGGATCAGCAGCAGCAGCAGAAGTACCAGCATCAGCAACATCAGCATTAGCAGAAGCAGCAGCAGCAGCAGTAGCGGCATCAGGATCAACAGCAGAAGCACCAGCAACGGCAACATCAGCATTAGCAGCAGAAGAATCAGTAGCAGCATCAGCAGCAGCAGCAGCAGTAGCAGCAGCAGCAGCAGAAGCATCAGTAGCAGCATCATCACCAGCGTCGGCATCAGTATCATCAGCAGCAGCGGCATCAACATCAGCACCAACACCAGGACTAGCAGCATCAGCATTAGTAGCAATAGCATCAGTAGCAGCATCGGCATTAGCAGCAGCAGCATCAGCAGCAGCATCAGCAGCAGCAGCAGCAGCAGCAGCATCAGCAGCAGCATCAGCAGCATCACCAGCAGCATCAGCAGCAGCATCAGCAGCATCAGCAGCAGCATCACCAGCAGCATCAGCAGCAGCATCAGCAGCATCACCAGCAGCATCAGCAGCAGCATCACCAGCAGCATCAGCAGCAGCATCACCAGCAGCATCACCAGCAGCATCAGCAGCAGCATCAGCAGCATCATCAGCAGCAGCATCAGCAGCAGCATCAGCAGCAGCATCACCAGCAGCATCAGCAGCAGCATCAGCAGCAGCATCAGCAGAATCATTATCAGGATGTGCTGCAGCCGCAGCACCAGCACTCTGTGACTCATTCCCTTCCCCTCTGCCTCCTCCTCCTACTCCCTCTGCTGAAATTACTTCGCACTTCTTGTCGCCACTGTCACTCCTGACACACCCACTCCCCTCACCCCCACTCCCTTCTCCTTCCCCTTCTCTCCTCCCTGAAACCTTCTCCCCCACATCCACTGTCTGCACTGCCCCCACCACCACCCCCGCTGCCCCCCCTGCCCCCACTGCCCCCGCTGTCCCCTCTGCCCCCGCTGCCCCAACTGACGCCCCCACCACAGCACCATCAATGAGGGTCCTTCCACGACCCCTCCTATCCAGATACCCTGAAAACAACTTCCCACCAGCCCCACCAGCCCCAAACCCACCAGCCCCACCGGCTCCCGAGGCAGATGCAGGTTCGCGCATGTTCAGCATCGAATCAATGTTGTAGAACCGCTTTCCGAGCCTGAACGGCAGGTCCGGCACAGCATCGGTCGCCTCCGAAGCTATGGTGCCAGCATCACTATCAGTGCTGCAGGGACTAGGCTCTCTCCTCCCACTCTCCTCCCTCTGCACCTCCTCTCTTCCCACTCTTCCCTCCCTTCCCTCTCCTGCCTCCTTTCCGAAAAGAGGAACCTCATCTGCCCCTTGTTGTTCCCTGCCCTCCTCCGTTTCCCCTCCTTCCTCCTTCCGAGCCTCCCTAGCCTCCCTAGCCTCCTTTTGACGCAACCCGAATGCGCCCTCTTCTTCCCCAACGGTCGTCTCTTCCCTCTCACATGCCCGCTCCTCCTCTTTTTCAGATGCCCTCTCCTCTTTCCCAAACCCTAAGTCCACATCTCGCATGTTCTTCAGCAGCTCTTGATACCACTCCTCATCCTCATCCTCCTCCTCCTCGCCCCCCCCACCCATCCCTCCCTCCACCTCCCCACCCAAACCAACCACTCTCTCACTCTCCTCCCTCTTCCCCTTCCCCTCTCTCTGCCCACTCCTATCCCCAACCCCCCGTTTCCTCCCCTCAAACTCTCCCCTCACCTCCTCCTCTCCCTCCACCCCAACTCCAAGGGACGAAGCCCAACCCCCACTGGACAGACTCCAAGCATCACTCTCAATCTCTGTCTCTATTTCAGTCTCAATTCCTGTCTCTGTCTCTGCATCTGTCTCTGCAGGCATATCTGCATCCCCAGCACCCATCTCCACCCCCCTTTCCAATCCCCCACCCCCTTCCCTGCTACCCTCCCCATCTTTCCTTCTCTCCCTCCTCCCCTTCTTCTCCCGCCCCCCTCGTCCCTCTCCAACCTCCAGTTCTTCCAAAAAAGATTTATTGCTTCGTTCAAGCTGCCCGAACCCTGCGATCCCAGGAGGGAACCAAGGCTAAGTTTCAAGCTGCCCGTGTCACTCCCACCTCCTGCGCCCAAGCCTGCTCCCGAGCCTCTTCCTACCGAACCTCCAGCTCCCGAACCACCACGAACCAGCTTCTCTGCTGCCTTTGGTTCTCCTCCTCCTTCTTCCTTTCCCACTGCTGACACCCCTCCCTCTCTCGCTCCCTCCTCCCCACCCCCCTTCCTGCTGCCTATGCTCTCTTTTCCTTGACTCCCACCGGATTGAACTCTTCTCAACCGGGACCCACCACCTGAACCTTCAATTGATGATACTCCTGCTGCTGCTGCTGCTGCTGCTGCTGCTGCTGACGTTGCTGAAACTGCTGATGCTGCTGATGTAAAAGATGCCGAACCAATATCCACCCTACCCCCTCCTCCCGTCACCAACTCCATACGCCTCCTCTCCCTCCCCTTCTCCTTCTCCCTTCCTTTCCTCCCCTCCCTCCCACCCCTCTCGGTCCCACTGCCTGTACTTTCAAGGCTGCTCCGAGCCTGCCCCCGAGCCAGGTCAAATCCGGAGCTGATCTGAGGATGATCTTGGCTCGGCCCAAGGCTGGGGCTACACCAAACCTGCTCCACGGTTGGATCCGTGCCGAAGCTGCTCCGATCCTCCTCAGAAGACGAGAGAAAGAGAGGGATGGGGAGGATGACGTCAGCATGGGGCGACGGACGAATGGCGGAGTGACAGCTGGAGCTCGGAGGGAGATAGGGAGATGAGGAGGAGAGGAGGGGGGATGGGGCGGCGACAGAAGCTTCATCTGCTGATGCAGAGCGTTTTCCGGGTGTGTTTTGAGTGGAGTCGACAGCAGCACCCACAGAGGCAGAGCCATCAGAAGCAGCAGCAGGTGCAGCAGCAGCAGGTGCAGTGGTGGTGGCAGAGACAGTAGTCTCAACAGCAGAAGCAGCAGTCCCCTCAGGAGGTGTTGGCTCACTTGCTCGCAGCACCTTACCATCGCCGTCTCCTGTCTCCCGTACCCCTCCTGCCCACGCTGCTGACTCTCCCACAGCAGCAGCAGCAGGTGTCTGCAGCTTGACTGCAAACACGGAGAGAACAGGGATGGGTGCACTCATATCCACATCCCCATATGCTCTCACCCCACTGGTAGCAGAGACCCTCACCACACCAGCACCTCCTCTCATATTCAAATCAGACACAAAGCCTCCAGTTGCGTCAATAATCTGTGCGGAAAGAGCAGCTTCTGTGACCTCCCCAACCCAGCCGGAACCCACACCCCCCACGCATTTGGTCAGCACTCTATGGCTGTGGTATGCCAGCTCTGCGGCTATATTCACACTCTCTATAAGCAACTCCACGTTCACTCTCCTGGTTCCCCCAAACTTGCTCCCCGCGAACCTGCTGCCGATCCTTCTGCCACTGAACCTTCCAGTTTCCCCTTTTCCAATTCCTCTACCCTCCACATTCTCGCTGCGCCTACCCTCTCCCTCCTCCTCCACCTCTTTCTCTTCCTCCTCATCCCCTTCCTCCTCATCCTCATCGCCCCCACCCCACATCCACTCTGCCTCTACCTTCTTGGCATGAGCCAAAGGCTTCATTGCTGCATGTCTCTCAAAGAGCAGATGCCTGGCTTTGGGAGGGCCCCTACTGCCAATCACCCCCCCCTTGCTGCTGCCATCCATTCCCAGTGCTTCCCAAGAAGCTTCCAATTCTAGCCGCCCGGTGTGCCGGGCAGCCTCAGAAGCCAATCGGAACGCTCCTCCAGCTGCCCGAGCGAGATCCTCCTCTGCTGTAACTGCCCCAAATTTTCCGCTCCATTTCCCGCTCCATCCCCCCCTTCCGTCTCCCCCTCTCCCCCTCCCCTTATCCCCCATACAAGCAGCCTCGGTCACTTGTAACTCAGCTATATGGCCCTGTAGCTTACGGGCGAATAGCGTCGCGCCATCTGTCATCGCGAGGAAGAACCTAGGAGCTCCACAGCCCTGGTTGGCAGCTTGCTGCAGCACAGCTAAGTGGCTCTTGAGTAAGTGTGAGAGGCGAGTGGCTCCCTGCACTAACGAGGTGAGTCGCTCCTGTGTGCCTGATGGGAGCAGCAACAATCAAGGGAGGAGTGTTAGAGAAGCGGACAGTTGTTAATTGAATGTTCCGGTAAAAAAAGTGTACACACTCACATACACACACTCACTCACCCCCTCCCACCGGCATGCCACAACCAGAGCGATTGCACGCACTACAGTGTGAGCCACCGCTGCCTAAGTGCTGCTCCTGTAACATGCTCACTCATTCACCCAATCCCACACCCACACAGTCAGCCGCTCACACTCTCACACATCTCAATCACCCTCGGATTGCAGGCCAAGTGCCAAGAGAAAGAGCAAGCTGCGGAGCATGCACGACAGCGTGAGCCACCACTGCTGCTGCTCGCGCCGTCGTCACTGCCGGGAGAAGCTGTGAGACTCAACATGCTTGCATTGCATGCCTTCACTCGCATTCATACGCACAAATGCATACCCACACCACACGCTTTCCCTCTCACCAGCGGATTGCAGGGCAAGGAAAAGAGCTGCCACTGTTACATGCTCATCACTCACCCACTCATGCACTCGCTTCGCACTCACCAGCGGATTGCACGCCAAGGGAAAGAGTGATCTCCAGAGAAAGCGCATGCACCATAGTGTGAGCCACCACGGCTGCTGCTCCCGCCATCGCCACTGCAGGAAGAAGCTGGGCTGACGACCCTGCACTGCCAGCTGTAGCAGCAGATATAGCCGACGCATCAGCTGCCCTCACAGCATCAGATGAAACCGCACCAGCAGGAGCAGCACCAGTAGTAGCAGCGACAGCTGTAGCAGCAGAGCCTATAGCAGCAGGAATGGCTGTAGCAGCAGCATCCGAGACCAGCGACTGTAGCACGGAGAGCAGTGCAGAGGCTTGCCCGGCCAAGCTAGAGGCTGTAGCAAGAGCTGTAGCACCAGCTGTAGCAGAAGCATTCTCAGGGTTACTACCAGCCACATCTGCAAGATCTGTGGCATTTCCTGTCAACGCGGCAGCAGCATTGGAACAAATGGAAGCACAGAGATCGCCAAAGAGAACAGGCCGAGAAATTCCCCCATCCAGAAACGGCTCCTTGACTTGTTCTCCCTCTTTTCCTCCTTCCGTCTGCTCCCCTCCTCTCTCCCCTCCATGACTATCCACTAGCTCGCCCCTTTCCTCCCGTTTTCTACCTTGTCCCGAACTATTGTGGTCGGATAATGGGGATGGTAGTGGGAAGGGCATGTTGTGATGGAGCAAGGACAGGAGGGTGACCTCTGCTGCTGCTGATGCTGCTGCAGAGGCAAGAGGGGGGACAGGGGTGTGGGAACCAGCATCGCCAGTAGCAGCAGCAGAACCGTCACTATCCCAAGCGTACACCCATCCACAGCAAAGGTCCTCCTCCCCTTCCAATCCCAACCCGTCACCACCCTTGCCGCTTCCTTCACTCCCTCTGCCGTCCCTTCCGCCCCTACTCTTCCCCCGGCTCCCCCAATTCCCCTTCTTTCCCCCACCAGTCTCCCCCCACACCTCCGCCACAGCACCCCCCAGCCTCAAGAGGCAGCGCAGCAGCAGCGCAGACACCACAGGAACAGCTGCTGCTGCTGCTATAGGCAGATGGGGTTTAAAGGGTCTCAGCAAGGGGATAGGCGCGGCTGCTGCATCAGTGGCAGAGTGGGCATGTGCAAGCCCCCTGTCATGGGAATGGGAAAGCACATAGAGCTGACTCAGCCGGGTGCGGATATCGGCCATGAGAGAGAGGGCCTCAGAGCACAGGCTAAGCCACGGCACACAGAGAGTGCGCGCTGCTGTCACGGCACTGCCACTGCTGCCACTGCCCTGTTTGCTCCGCACAGAGAGCCCTTGCTGTGGGGGGGACAGTGGGTTGTGATGCTGCGGTTCAGAAGCCCTCTCGTGCGCGTGTGCCTGTGCAGGGACTAGCAGGCCCATAGCAGCTTCTAGCTGCTGCAGGCGAGAGGTCAGCGAGGCGGGCAGTAGAGGCAGGGTGGGTCACCGCTTCTGCATCACGCGCTGCTGCTTCAGCTGCTGAGGGCCCTGAGAGCTGCTCGCTCCGAATCTCGTTTTCTTTCTCTCCAGGAGAGGCAAGACCAGTTGCAGCAACAGAAGGAGCAGCAGCAGAAGCATCAGTTTCAGCAGGCACAGGCGGAGCACGAGATGCAACACAACTTGAAAGCAGCTCAGCACTCTCAATCAGAGCAAACAACGATGCCAGCCCCTGCTGCTGCTGCTGCTGTTGGCCCCTCCGCTCCACTGGTCCTCCTGCGCCCATCTCCCTGTCTCTTCCCCCGCTCCCTGCCTGCCGGTCTGCAAGAGAGCAGCAGCGTGCCGCCAGCAATGCTGCATGCTCTGAGGCAGCTTCTAGCAGCTTCTCACTTCGATCCCATAGCTCTGCCTGTCTCTGTCTCTCCTCCTCGTTTTCGTCCCCTCCTTCCTTCTCCTCTTCTTCATCTTCGCCTTCTTCCCATCCTCCTTCATCCTCCTTCTCCTCATCCTTCTCCTCCTCTTTTCCCCCTTCCTCGTCCTTTTCGTTTCCAGCACCCACTCCCTCCTCCACCTTCCCCTCTTCCCTCACACTCCCCGCTCCCTCCACATCTCTCCTCCTCCTCGCCTCTATCACTCTCAAAACGCCCAACACCAGAAACAGCAGGTCTTCCAACCGCCCTGCGCTTTCTGCCAGTCCTTCTGCAGTCACACCGCCTACAGTCACATCGCCAACACTCACACCTTCTACAGCCACACCCGCTTCCCCTATTCGGCTTCCCATTGTGTGCTGACTCAGCAGTAAGAAATGCTGCTTTGCCAAAATCACAAAATTCTCCACCGGCAGAGTTACATCTGTCTCTGTTTGGGTTACATCCGCCTCTGTTTGGGTTACATCTGTCTCTGTTTGGGTTACATCTGCCCCCGGCGGCGTTACAACTGTCGTCGACAGTCTCACCACACCACATCCCGCAGTCTTACACTCAAGCCTTTCTAAGAGACTCGTAAGAACCTTGGCCTTCGTTACAATCACCTCCCCCTGCTTGCACACCTCCTGCCAGCTCGGCACCTCATCGTCTGCATCCACATCAGCAGCCACATCAGCGGCCATGTCCCCTTCCTCTCCCTCCGCTCCCTCCACTCTCCCAAACCCAACCTCACCTACAGTCACATCCGTTACAGTCACCTCACTCCGTGTGGTAACCCTATCCACCAGAGCCCCCTCTATGGCCATCCCCACATCCTCCCGGTGGTCAATCACGTCCCTCCACAATGCCGAGGCTGCTACAATCACCTCCCTTATATGCACCTTCTCGCTGCCCACCCCCTTTATAGTCACATCGCCACCAAACAAATCCTCAGCAGCACTCACATCCTCTGCAGTCCCATCTGCCTGTCCTCTGCTTTCCTTCACCCCTTCAGCTGCCGTTACAGTCACATTCTCTCCAATCACATTCTCCCCGTTCACATCCTTTTTAGTCACATCCTCCCCACTCATCTTTTGCACATCTGCTGCATCATCTAGCACCTCCTGTGTCCCCTCTTCTCCCTCCATACAGTCACTCTCTGCAGAATCAACCACAAGAACATCTGCTGCATTCATTTGCACCTTCCCAATCTGTGCCGCCTCTTCCCCCTCCATACAGTCACTCATAGGCCAGAGCGACCCACCCACTGCAGCAACCATACCCCACGGATCCATCCCACCTGCCCCAGACTCACCTTCCCCGGACGCACCTTCCCCCTCCTCCTCGCCACCCCCAAACAAATCAAATCCGATAAAATCCGATACAGTCGTGACGATTGCTAGATCTACCTGCAGTTTACTGTAGCCCCCCCGGGAGCGTGGGCGAGGGGGAGTGGCGAGGCGAGGAGGGGTGAAAAGATGGGGAAGGGTGGGGAAGTGGGGAGGACGGGTGACGTCAGCCGTTGGATCGGCCAGAGATGCAGATGGAGGGTCAGGATTGCTGTGCGATCTGGCCATCTGAATGGTGGCTTTGTTGTGCTGAGCGCCTGTGCTGCTTATGCACTTAAACGAGTGTGACTGTATGCGATTGGGCAGCACGATGCGAGGGGATCCAAGCCGAGAGAGGAGAAGGAAATCCTCGTCTGCTTCTTGCTGCTGAGAACCAGCTGTGGGTGCAGCAGGGGCAACAGAGGCAGCAGAGGCAGCAGGTGCGTTTTGAGGTGCTTCAAAGGACAGGAGAAGGGCGTCCTCGTCTAGCTCTTGCTGCTCAGAACCAGCATTGGCAGCAGGTGAAACAGGGGCAGCAGGGGGAGCAGGTGAAACAGGGGCAGCAGGGGGAGCAGGTGAAACAGGGGCAGCAGGGGGAGCAGGTGAAACAGGGGCAGCAGGGGAAGCAGGCTTGGGGGAGGTAGGTTTGGGAGAGGAAGGCTTGGGGGAGGTAGGCTTGGGAGAGGAAGGCTTGGGGAAGGTAGGCTTGGGGGAGGTAGGCTTGGGGGAGGTAGGCTTGGGGGAGGTTGAGACTGGGGCTGTGGGCAGGACTACAGACACGCCCCCTTTGGCTGGTGAGGCCTGGGGCGAAGAGGCTGGAGGGCGGCGGAAGGAGGGGGATCTGGGGGAAGCTGGGGGGAGAGAGGGAGAGAGACCTGAAGGCGATGGGCGGGGGAGAGAGGGGGACCTGGGGGATGCTGGTTGTAGGGTGGCGGAGAGACCAGAGGGGGATAAGGGGGGGAGGGAGGGGGACCTGGGGGAGGCAGGGGGGAGGGAGAGAGTGGGGGGCACTCGAGACGAGGGTGCCTTAGGTGGTTGGGAATCTAACGAGAAGGGCGTTAGTAGAAATGTTTTCGGAGATGGTGGTTCGAGAGGAGGAGGTTTTGGTGAAGGGGCTCTTAACGAGGATGGCTTTGAAGAGGATAATGACTTGCGGTGTTGGTGCAGTGCAGACCTTGCTCCGGAACAACCACCAGCAGCAGAAGCAGCCGCAGAATTCCCCCCCCACCCTGCACTGAACCTTGTGGCAGGCTGGCCACTGTAACCCCTGGGAGACCCCGGCTGGTTGGCTCGCCTGACGAAGCACAAGAAGCTTCCAGGAAGAATCACATCGCCATCATCACCACCCCCACCACCACCATTCTCTTCTGTCTTACAAGCACTCTCGCTTCCGCCCCTCTGCCCTCGGTCTCTCTGCCCCCTCTCCCTCTCATCTCCTCCTTCTGCCATCTCCTCACCCCTCAGTGCTCGCTTCCTCTGCACCACAGACCCACCTCTCGGCATCAAAGCATCGTCTCTCTGCAGACTCCTCAGTGGTCCACCACTTTTGGTGCTAGCCCCCTCAAGGGGTCTAGCCGCCCATTCCTGGTTCCACGCCTCCTCATTCCTCCCCTCCTCACCCGCTTTGCTGCCTCCCTCCTCCACTCCCTTACCCCTTCCCTCATCCTCCCCCATGCTCCCATGCTCCATCACACCCAGCAGGCTCCCCTTCCTCCTCTGCCTGCCCTTCGCCCCAGCACTAGCAGGTGCAGCGCCGCTGCTGACAACATCCGCGTTAGTAGCATCCCCTGTAGAAGCATCCCCGTTTGAAACAGCATCCGTTTTAGAGACATCCCCTTTAGTGACGTCCCCTGAGCTCCTCACTCGTCGTAGCTTCATTGCAAACAGGTACGTACCGCCACCACCCTCCCCCCCACCAGACAAGTTCACAGGCGCCTCAGAATTCACGTACGTCCCTCCACTCTCACTTCTACCCTCCCCTCCGCTCTCACTTCTACCCTCCCCTCCGCCTGCATCAGCAGCATCACGCACGCACCCCTCATTAGCTGCTTCCGCGCCAGAGTCAATCACAACCGTTGATGCCCTGCTTACAGCTTCATCTCTTGCACTCTCGCCCCCTTCTCTCCCCCCATTGCCCACACCAGCTGGTACCTCACGTGCTACCAGCCTCCCTGTTACCTGCGTCTCCGGGTCTCTTCTCTTCTTTTCACTCCTTGAGAACTCGGCCTCCACGTCCCTTCGCCAGCTCTTGGCTCGGCGCTCCGGGTCTACCTCCCAGGTTCGGACGACAGGTCCGTCCCTTCCTGAACTTGTTTTCCCATCTTCTCCTTCGAAACCCCCCCCTGCTTCAGCCACGCCAGGGCTGCCCCGAACCACACCACCTAAGCTCCCTTCCTGGTCCGGAAACTCCGAACCTAAGCTTGCTGATTCCCTTGTGTCCTGTCGGGCAGCTCTGGACTTTTCAGCCTCCCCTGAACCAGCCTCGGGATTGTCAGCCGTCCCCGAGCCGCCCTTGGGATTGTCTAGATGCATTGAATCCGCTGAGCAGGCTGTAGCTGGGTCGCCGTGGACAGGGGGGGGCGGACCGTTTGTGCTCGAGCTCTCCGGGTGAAGACCTGACGTGGCATCTGACGTGGCGTCCGCTTGTCTTGCCAGCTCGCAAGCCGGCCTATCCAGTAATTCTGTCTCTGCAGGTGAAGCAGATGAGTATAGCAATGTTGTTGCTGTTGTTGCTGTTGCTGCTGTTGCTGTTGCTATAGATGGTGCTGAGACTGAGCACTCATCTACTAAGCACTTCATATCTCCGCCCTTCTCTCTCCGTCCCATCTCATCCTCCACTTCACCTACCATCCGCCCTTCTCTTGCTCCCCCTTCTTCTTCGCGCTGGGACGTCCCTGTTGTTGCTCCCTTCACTTCCTCTCCTCTCAACGCCCCAATATCTGCTGCCCCTACTCCTGCAGCCCCTGACGTTCCTTCTGCCCCAGCTTCCCCCGTTGATGCAGCTTCTTCCGCTGCCCCAGCCTCTCCCCCTGCCCCAGCCTCTCCCCCTGCCCCAACCTCCCCCGCTGCTCCAGCTTCTCCCGCTGACCCCTTATGTCTGTGCGTCTTGCTCTTGGACTTTCGCTTGTGCGAACTCTCCACCTCGTCAATGAACACGTCTAGCAGGTCCTGGCGAAATAGGGTTACCACACAAAATGTCGCGAAATTCAGTGACGGTTGCACGGCGGATCAAACAGAAAGGTCGGAATAGGAACAAACGCAGTGATATACAGTGCCAGACGTGACGAAACGCGATAAAAGGTATGTCACTTATCAACGAAACTCGCAAATCGAGTTTTGAAACGTCTCAGAAATAAACGAGACTCGCAAATTCCTAATAAAATCCCCCCACGAACCTTAACTGGTTGCGATCCTGCCATCTGTCCCATCGCTCCTCCCAAGCCTCTGGACGGAGCTGGCCCCGACCGCCGAGCCTGGAGGATCGGTGACTGCGCGGTGGCTCGGGAGGACTGCGACGTGGTTCGGGAGATGGTGCTGCTGTCGTAGTCGGAATTATCGAGGTCCGGGCCTTCCATCCCCCTGCTGCCGACGCACCCCATTGGTGGCATCTTGGCGACGGGACGCCACGTGGCACGGGATTGGATAATCCTCGGGTTACAGGCAGAGGGTGCCACGTGGCACGGAAAGGATCAGGCTAAGTTACCGACTTACACGGGCTGTTAGGCAGATAGGCGACTACTTGTCGCAGCAGGGAAGGTGTTAAGGCCGTACAGGAAGCTTACACCCGCCGTTAATAAATTAGCACTGCTATTATGGAGGTGAGTACCATGGTGAGTATACGAATGCGCGACTCCGGCTTTGACAGGCGGGAGCTCCTTATTAGGTCGCGCGAACGTCGTACACTATCAGAAGTCGCAGAGAGGCCTACCGTCAATTACTAATCTGGAACCGTCACTGCGGCCACAGCGAATCGCGGCATGACTCGCTGCTACTAGAGAGCCTGTCTGGTTAGTGTTTCCTAATCGACGCCGTTACTACCATCACAACTGAATACTGAAATTCTGCTGCAATTAGTTACAGCAGCCATTTGCTGCTCCCAGCAAGCGCAACAATTGCCTCTCCTCCAATGGGAGAACCTGGAGAATCTCCTCAAATTTCGCACATCCCATCCATGCGCTGAGAGACGGGGATTTATGTTTTGGGTTTCCCGCCACCCGGTTTCAAGTTCAGTAGTTTTGGGAAAAAAACATGCTGACCTCGGGCTTTACGGGGGTTGCGACAAGTTTTGGACGGCGACAGAGTTTCACACCAAGTATTTCAGTCCCGGGAAAACAGAGCCCACGGAAGGGATTTCCTAAGAGAGCGCACATTGGCGCTTCCCGCATAGAATTACTTCCTGGGTACTTTTACAGCTCCAATAAAAACCAGAAATGAGGGAAACCACCGCTGGCTGGGCGAGCACACATAACCTCACATCCAGCATGAACAGCAGTGCTTATTAATGTATTAAAAAACAACTGACAGACCTAAACAAGTCGGTGTAGTTTAGTGGTTAGAATCCCACGTTGTGGCCGTGGAGACCGGGGCTCGAATCCCCGCACCGACACCTTTTGTGCTCTTGCTAAGGGTGCATCTGTAGTGTAAGATAAGGAGTAGGATGGGTCTTTTGAACCTTGATTTGCTTGTGTTTTGAACTACTTTGTGTCTTCCAAGCCTACAGTTAGTGTCTGACCTAAGGTCTGACAAGATATACGCATGTTTGGCGCTTACCCTTTATGGTACCGGTTCGCACCACCGGAGCGTTATAGCTGCTCTTTATCACTACGGCCATCTTACAAACGCCGTCCTCGTAGGGTAGATTGTCACATTATGACCGTACGTACAGCGTTTCACAGTCGTCAACATATTCGTTTTTTATAATGGTTAGCACCTAGGGCGTGAAACATCCTTATGAACAAGTTGTTCGTCGCCCAATTGTTGGAAATATATTTGCAAGGTTTCTATTATATGCTACACTATTCGAAGTGTACTAATTAAAGCTCGCCATATCGAGGGTGTTAGCCCTGGTGGCGAGCTACAGGGGCGCAATCGCGCACAGTGGTTGCGACCCTCGTGGCAGCTGAAGAGTCGTATTCACCAGTGGCAGCGTGTATTGTATGTGGAACTGCCCTACAGGGCGCGGCCGAATACCGCGCCCTTGCCGAGGTTGAACAGTCGCGCCAGCGCAATTGTAACAAGGCAACCCAAGCGAAGCACCGCAACGGTTATGCAGTTGCACTATAGTAACTGCCAGCCTTATGTGTTTGCTATATAACCCAATGTATCGCATCTCTATTATTACACATATTCTCAAGCTTGTGTCCGGCTAACCCTCAGCCTGGTATGGCACCATGTTACTAGCCAAGAAGAGCTACCACTGAGTGACCATTTCCCCGCTTCATGGTTGTCGTAAAACCTTTTTTAGAGGCTTCCAATGCACTCTAGCGAGTTATTCTAACATGGTATGAGAGCTAGTTTGGACTATAAGTTCTGCCAATAGCAAGTTCTCTAAACTATATCTTCCTTATAAATATATGGCGATACAAGCATACATCATGCCAAGCGCTGACTGCGGAGAAACTAGAGAAAATCGAGTTCATCAGCCATCCAATGTCACCTTAGGAGTCACATCAATTGACCCTGCTCTCATCGAGCAGCTCAACACCCGCATCAGCGCCTTGGAGAGCCATCATCAACCGATGAGCGTTGACTGCTCCAGCTACGCCAGAAGACCCCCAGATCGTCCTGGGCCACACTCTGAGAGATGGTTCTGTCGAAGAGAAAGTTGACGCCCTTGCTTGGGCGCAGCTGATCACGATGTCGACGAGGAGTTCTCGATGAAGTTATCGTCCAGTGAGGGAGGAGAGTGGGCGGCAAGAGGCCAGCCCTTGCAGCACTGACAGCGACGCTGGCACCATAGCTTCGGAGGCGACCGATGCTGTGCCGGACCTGCCGTTCAGGCTCGGGAAGCGGTTCTACAACATTGATTCGATGCTGACCATGCGCGAGCCTGCAAGTGCCTCGGGAACCGGTGGGGTTGGGGCTGGAGGGAAGCTGTTTTCAGGGTATTTGGATAGGAAGGGACGTGGCAGGACCCTCATTGATGGTGCAGTGGTGGGGGCAGTGGGGGCAGCGGGGGCAAGAGGGGCAGCGGGAGCGGTGGGGGCAGCGGGAGTGGTGGGGGCAGTGGGGGCAGTGGGCCGGGGGACGCCGGTGGGGGTAATGGGGGCGATGGGGGTGGGGGAGAAGGGCTCATGGAGAAGAGAAGGGGAAGGAGAAGGGAGTGAGGGTGAGGGGAGTGGGTGTGGCAGGAGTGATAGTGGGGAGAGGAGCGATGTTATTTCAGCAGAGGGAGGAGTGGGAGGAGTGGGAGGAGGAGGGGGAGGAGGAGCAGGCATAGGGGAAGGGCATGAGGTAGATTGTGGCTCAGGCAGCCATGAGATTGACTGTGGACATGTTGTGTGTGCGGGAAATGCTGATAATGATGCTGGTGATGCTGCTGCTGCTGATGCCGATGCTGCTACTGATACTGTGGCTACTGATGCTGCTGGTGCTGATGTTTCTGCCGCTGCCGCTGCTGCTGATGCTGATAATGCTGACACTGATGCTTATGCTGCTGCTGCTACTAATGCTGCTGCTAATGCTGATACAGATGCTGCCGACGCCTCTGATTTTCATGTTTCTGCTGCTGCTTCTGCTGCTGATGATACTGATGTCGATGCTGCTGCTGATGATGATGGTGCTGCTCATGTTGATGCTGCTGTGCCTGATGACGCTGCTGGGCCTGATGACGCTGCTGGGCCTGATGACGCTGCTGGGCCTGATGACGCTGCTGGGCCTGATGACGCTGCTGGGCCTGATGACGCTGCTGGGCCTGATGACGCTGCTGGGCCTGATGACGCTGCTGGGCCTGATGACGCTGCTGGGCCTGATGACGCTGCTGGGCCTGATGACGCTGCTGGGCCTGATGACGCTGCTGGGCCTGATGACGCTGCTGGGCCTGATGACGCTGCTGGGCCTGATGACGCTGCTGGGCCTGATGACGCTGTTGGGCCTGATGACGCTGCTGGGCCTGATGACGCTGCTGGGCCTGATGGATGTTTGTTTGGAGTGCATGTGGAGGGATGCAATACGCAGTCAGCACCGGCAGAAGAAGCAGCAGCAGCAGCAGCAGCAGCAGCAGCAGCAGCAGCAGCAACAGCAGCAACAGCAGCAGCAGATGGTGACAGTAACGTTGATGACAGCAATGACGAGCGTGACAATAACGAGGGTGAGGGTGACAAAAATGAGGGTGACAAAAACGGGGGTGACAATCGCGATTGTGACACCAAAAAGGATGGCAGCATCCAGGGTGACAATAGTGAACGCGAGAGTATGTTAGGTTCGGAGAATCTGGACCTTCTGCAGTTTGACGAGATCTCCCGAGCCAAGCAGGCTCGGCGGCAGTGCCATGCCGGCCGCCGTGGGTGCAGCTTTGGACGCTCGGGATGACATGGCAGACGCCGAGGTTGCACTGGAGGAAGCTTCCAAGGAAGTTGCACAGCTCACGGCATGTACTGACACCGAGAATAAAAGCACGAGTCTGGAGGGGCTTACAAGGGGGGAAGGGTTTACTGGTAACCAGGCAGGCATTACGGTAACCGTTGACGGGGAAGATGAGGGGAGCAGTATGGGAAGCAAGGGTCTTGAAGTCAAAGGAGAGGGGAAAAGGAAGATGGGGGATGGGGAGGAGGGAGTGACTGAAGGAGAGGAGGATAATGCTGGAGGGGAGGAGTTGGGGGGGAGTATTGTAGCGAAAGCTGACGAAGCGGGCAGTGGGGAGTCTACAAAGGATGTGAATCTGTCTTCTGCCCGTTCTTCTGCCCTAGCTGCCCTGGAACTAGCTCAGCTTGCCCGCAACGAAGCCGCTGCCCGAATGCGGAACCAGCGGCGCCGGGCAGCTGCGAAAGTTTCGGAGCTGGAAGCTGCCCGGTCCCTCTACACCACGCTGCTTAGGGCAAAAGAAAAACGGGTCGCTGAAATAAACAGTGCTGCTTATGGGTTGATTGGGGACATGAAGGCAGCAACTGGGTGTGTAACACCGGGTGTGGTAACCCCACGAGGGGGGTCTGCTGCTAGTAGCGAATTGCCAGATGTGCAACACTGCACAGATGGTGTAGAGGTTGACTATAATGAAGAGGGCTACTAGTGGAAGAAAGTGCGTAGGGTATGGGATAATGGTAGATAGTAGGCACACTTATTTCATCTGAAAAAGCAACTCAGATTTGTTGCAATACTTTTGAAACTACAGCTACAGTCGGGCGTTTTCTTTGTCTGACACAGGCAAAACTAACAGAGTAAGAACCATCGAGTAAAAAGGCTACCGTAGGTTGGCCTGCTACACTGAACTGCAAATAATCGCCCGATTTACATTTAAGATAAAGTCCTCATGAGACGTCTAAAAAATCATCGAACCGTTGCCCAAACACCAGTCAATCATCTATACCAACATCTTTGTAAATCTTCAGGAAGGTTGATCGAGCCTATGATCACCTCAGGAAGGTTCGCAGAGAGTGTGTTGCAGCGGAAGTATTGACCTCAGGCCAGAGTGAAAATAAAATTGACTGAGATGATTAAAACAAAGGCATACATATGTTTATATAATAGTACAAGGGAAAACAAAACGACCTAGACTAGTCATGTACTCTAAGGGGTACATTCCCTCATTGTAGCGAAATCCAACCATGCGACTCCAGACGGTTACGGACCTGTTCCCGCCTAAATCCTCTCTCCTGCAGCTGCTCGACGGTCCAGATGCTGCCAACCGTACGCGACTCTTCGCGTCATTCCGACCTTTCGCCTTCGTGCTCTTCATTGTGTTCTTTGCTTGCTACTGATAAGAGTGCACAATACTGTTGAGAGGAGCCCTGCATGTGCATGGGCGAAATCTGGAGCTTCTGCGCAGGCCGGGCCAAGAACCTCGTGCATAAGGAGCAAGGTTGCCTGTACAAGGGGTGTACCGGGGAACCCGTGCACGAGCAACTGTAGCATCCGCAGGTGCAGCGGAAACATCTCCTGCACAGGTGCAGGGGGCGCAGCTGGTGCAGAGGTTCGCGAAAGTTCATCCGCGCAGGGTCGCGTCCGACCCTGCGCACCCTCGCGAATGTACAATTGAATTGCGGCGAGAGATTCAATGTGCGCGAATTTCGACCAATGAGGGCTCACGGAATTTCGACCAATCAGGTCTTGTACCCGCCAGGAGAAATTGAACCAGCAATGGAAAGAGAACCTGCTACACGTTTTTGTAACCACAAAAACGTGCACACCTATGCATGGTGTACAACCTGTGCAACTACTTAGTTCGGTGAAAAATACATGGGCTTGTTTTTTTACCTGCCATTGTTGCGTTGGCAAGGCACATGCTTGGCAGTTAGTTAAACGTTCCTCTTGGAACGTTTCTGCAGGGTTCCTTTGATCTAGTATATTGGTTCAATTTTTTCTTGTACTCTACTTGTTCAACTCCTTTGCTTAGTGAAACCTATGCTTGGATTCTACTAAGTCAACAACAACTCTGTTAAGAGCAACAGCCTGAATTCCACCCTTCGCGCCATCACGCAATTCTGATCTTCCCCGTAGGTTAGAATTTTCCGCATGGTGCGGTGAGCGTGGATCGAACACGCGACCTTCAGATAGAAGCCGACGTTTGCACTTACCTAAGTCGTTGTTAGGCCGGCAGCGTGTGCATACCATGACGCCTACCCCGGCAGAGGCCGTCACGGTAGAGGATACGCTGGAGGCACGGATAGCTGACGCTAGGAGGCACCACACGGATGGCGAGTTCGGGACGGTCCCTTGGAGGTGCTCGTGTGCAGTGGGCGCACGAGCATCCTTCCCGACCTGGTGCGGATGGTGCGTCCGCCTCTCCTCGACCGATACACAACGAAGGTGGCGTCGACGACGAGGTCGACAGCGGTGACCAAGTCGGCAGCGACGAGGGCTCGCGGATGACGCGAGGAGTGATCAGGGAAGCCGACGACGAAGTCGGCGGAATGCGGGCGCGAGGGATGCGGTCGACGGCGGCTGCAGGCAGCTCGCACGGCGACATCGGCGGACGACGTCGCTCTCCCCAACCAAGTGGAGTCGGGCCGTCGTCGGCGACCCACGTGACCGCTGGTGGGATTGCACCGGCGTACGGGTACTTCAAGTTCTTGCCGGACAAGATCGTCGTGCTCGTGCTGCTGGAAGGTAGGCGCGACCTTATCATGTGGAGGGAGTCGATCGAGCCCCAGATAGAGATCGCCGGGTTGAAGTGCTTCGCCGACGGCGACGTGGTGACGCCGCACGAGATCGACGTCGAGGTGCGGGCGGAATTTCGTGCCGCACACCTGCAGACCTTCATGGTCATTTCGCGGTGCTGTTCGCCGAGGGTGCAGATTGCTCTGAAGCCGTGCCGACTTCGACTGGACGCCAGCCACCAGTCGTGGCGGTTCATCCTGTCGACGTACCAGGCGACCGACGACTTGTAAATCGGCCAGCTGGAGGAGAAGCTGACTCACCTCAGGATGGGCGAGCAGGAGTCGGCGACGGACTACTGCAATCGCGCTCGACGGGTCCTGGCCGACATGCGGATGGCGGGCGTCGACTACACGACAGCGTCCTACATCACACACGTCGTCAAGGGTCTCCCGAGTGGCTACAACCTCATGCGCCGGATGATGGCGATGCCCGGCGTACGTGAGGCCCTCAACGAGGATACCTTGACTAGCCACATCATCAAGGATGAGGCTATGCAGGAGGCTGAGCGGCCCACTAAGCTCCTTCCGCAGGCAAACTACATCGCCCCGACGAAGCAGGATCGTCTGTAGGGGCAGCGGAGGAAGTCTGGCGGAGGTAGTAGCGGAGGTGGGAGGTCGGCGAAGGACGCTGACCGGACGAAATCAACTCGGGACAGTGGTCGTGGCAGCGGTGGTCGACGGCGCGAGTGCTGGGTCTGCGGAAGCGCCGACCACCTTTCCTATGACTGCCCCGACCAAGAGGAGTGTGACGACGATGATCACAAGCTGGCCGCGGGAGGTCGGCCAACGGTCGTCGAATTCGGGACGAAAAGCCGCGCAAGGAGAAGCAGGCGTCGAATAAGGCGTCGTCGACGAAGGACGTCGACTCCTCTAGCGGCAAGGGTCGAGGCGACGGGGAGGCGTCGTGCTCGATGGTCGGCATGGTGGAGCCGACGCTCTCACTGGCGCCGGAGGCTGGCGAGGACTTCACGGCGGTCGCGGCCACCGTGTAGGCAAACCCGACGGTGGTTCTGCTCGACAGCGGCTGCCCGCACCACCTGATGGGGACGAAGGAGGCCTTCGTCGACATGGCGCCAAGTGGCGACGAAAATGTTGAAATATATTTTTCTTATATAAACTACTTGTAGCAGTAGTTAGTGTAGTGTTACATTGTTTGGTGGTGCACCTTGCTTGCTTTGCCTATATCCTTGTACCTTCTCTCTTTATTGCACACTTTTTCTCCTTTGCAACTCTCTCGACATTCCTCTTGAACCCTAAACCTAAGCTACTAAGTTACCATAGCCATGGCTACTAAGCCTAACTAGCCTTAGGACTTTGACATGGTTTCAGAGCATTTACGCTCCTGGCCTGTGGGCCCCCACTTGCTTCCGCTGCCTGTCGTCCTATCGCGCGCCTCGGGCGCGCGGCGTATTTTCCTCGCCGTGCGCCCCAGGCGCGCGGCGATTTTCTGCCCGCCGTGTGCTCGGGGCACACGGCGGTTTTCTGCCCGCCGTGCGCCCCGGGCGCGCGGCGGCTCTCTGCCCCACGTCAGCGCGCGGGCTTCCTGCCCGTTGCGCTGCCCTGCAGGCCGCGCGCGGGCCTGTTCTGCCCGTCGCGCTGCCCTGTGGGCCGCGCGCGGGCCTGCCCTGCACCCGCGACGCCGCCCCTGGACCCCGCGAAGCCGCCCCATGGAGCCCGCCCGCGCCCTGCCTCACCTGCGCATGCCCTCGTGCAGCCGCCCCTGCATCACCCGCGCCTGCCCTCGTGCAGCCGCCCCTGCCTCACCCGCGCCTGCCCTCGTGCAGCCGCCCCTGCATCACCCGCGCCTGCCCTCGTGCAGCCGCCCTGCCTCACCTGCGCCTGCCCTCGTGCAGCCGCCCCTGCATCACCCGCGCCTGCCCTCGTGCAGCCGCCCCTGCCTCACCCGCGCCTGCCCTCGTGCAGCCGCTCACCCGCGCCTGCCCTCGTGCAGCCGCCCTGCCTCACCTGCGCCTGCCCTCGTGCAGCCGCCCCTGCATCACCCGCGCCTGCCCTCGTGCAGCCGCCCCTGCCCTCGTGCAGCCGCCCCTGCCTCACCCGCGCCTGCCCTCGTGCAGCCGCCCCTGCATCACCCGCGCCTGCCCTCGTGCAGCCGCCCCTGCCTCACCTGCGCCTGCTCTCAAGCGGCCGCCCCCGCGTCTGCCCTCGTGCAGCCGCCCCTGCCTCACCTGCGCCTGCCCTCGTGCAGCCGCCCCTGCCTCGCCCGCGCCTGCCCTCGTGCAGCCGTCCCTGCCTCACCTGCGCCTGCTCTCGTGCAGCCGCCCCTGCCTCACCCGCGCCTGCCCTCGTGCAGCCGTGGGGGGAGGGTATGGGGGTGGCGGGTGTGGGGGTGATGAGTGTGGGTGCTACCCTTCCCCTCCTCCTCCTCCCTCTTCGTCTCCCACTGCTGCAGCTGCCGCTGAAGGGGGGTGGATGTGTGGGAGCCGAGGGGAGTGGAGCTAAGGGGGTGTCGTGGGAGTGGAGACAGGGGTGCAGCAAGGGGGTGTGTGAGAAGGGGGTGTGGGACTGTTAGGGGAGGTTGAGCGGAGGTCGCCGTCGTGTCGTCAGCAGCGCCAGTAGTCCGGAGCCCTCGTGCTCTCGGTAGCCCAGCGAGCCTGCTTCGCCAGTGTCAACATATATTTTATATGTGTTGTTTAGGTTAGTCTAGGTGTTACGTTTCTACTTACTTGCATGATTAGGGTTTGCTATATCTAGGGTTGTACTTCACATTTTCTATCAATTCATTCTTATCGTAACATGGTATAGAGCTAGGTTTCCCTTAGGCGATTTTTCCCCTAGGCGATTTTTTCCCTTAGGCGAAATTTCTCTCGATAGTCTATGGGCCCACCACCCGCGCGCCTCGTAGCGACCCATAGCCCGAAGCGCCCTGCCCCGTAGAGCCCGAGTAGGTCGCGCC